GACACTCAAAATAAAATTGCTTCGAGCCAGAGATAAAACTGTAATATAAGTTATCGGTTAGATTGAGAGCCTTTGATTTCTAACCTTTACGGATTCCCACTAAGCCTTCACGGCGGCGAGAAATCAACTCCATATCACAGGAAAGCTCGTTTCCAGTTTTCTCATCGGCTAGCTTGTAAGCTATTTTAAGGTACGTTCGGTTAATCTTATTTTCAAGTAAGAAAAGGTAATTAAAAAGAGCTAAAGAGGAGCAAAACGCTCTGCAGTAACTTCTCAACAGCGGTTGTCCGGCCCCTTGTAAACGGGCTTTAAGATATTCCGAATTTTCGTACCAACTTACCCACAAGTTTCGGACAGGTAGCAGGGGCGGATCCAGGATTTTTCTTAGGAGGGGGTGCACTCGTCTCTTGCTCTACTTCAACACCAATAAACCACATAGTTTTTTTTTTTTTTTTGCAAAATACCAGTTGTTTTAGAAAACCGAAGGCCATTTCAGGGGGGGGGGGGGGGGGGCGCCCCCCCCCCCCCCCCCCCCCGCCCCCCCCCCGGGGGGGGGGTTGGTTTGTGCTTTTTCTGGGGGGTTTTTTTTTGTGAGCGTCGGCGCGTTCGTGAGTGGCGTTACACACACAGCGCTCTCCTTTCTTTTTTCCCTTCTTCACCCCAAACATCACTATTTTTTTTTTTTTTTTTTTTTTCCACACCCCCTTTTAAAAAACACACCCGGGGTGCGGGGGGGGGGGGGGGGGGGGGTGCGCACCCCCTGCACCCTCCCCCTAGATCCGCCCCTGGGTAGTGCGTGTTTTGTGCATTTTAAGCGGGGTCTTTATTATCAAAATGTTCTTGCCGTTATTGATAAAAAAAGGTTCTCCTGAGAATTTCGGTGAAGAGACAAAACGTCGCCTAACATTTTATAATAGAGAATTTTTGGTCAATGTACTCCTCGAACTTTTTACGTTCGTACCCATCAGGGCCGCTAACAGTTTCGGATAAGACGAAAAAGCCACCTAAAACTATCGAGACAACCTTGAAAGTTCCCCTAAGGCATCAGAACAAACAAATAGATTGTAGAGTAACCTCAAATTAATCAAACAGGCTTCTATAGCTAAAGCCAGAGATAGAGAAAACCATTTGAGACTCAGTCGTTGGGTGCCTCTGAATACTGTGCTTTCTCTCAACATGCACATTGCTGAATAGCTCAAGTGAGCTTTTTTTTTCAACGAAGGTGACGGCAACGAGAACGTCAAAAAAGGCGATTGGTTTAAAAAGCTGTCAGTCTGTAAGTGCATCACGAATTTTGAAAAAATTCTCTTGTGTCCTCCGCACGACTTGGACGTGAAATTTCCTAATTTTATATCCTGCGTAGCGGACATGTTTGTTAAGCGCGGGATACTTATCCCGGAATGCGGAGAAAGAGAAGGAGAAGGAAAGCGTAGAGTACCTTCCACACCACGGCAGCCAGAAACAACAGAATTTCCCTGCTGATAAATCCAACTAGCTAAACAGGCTACTAATTTCACAGTGCTTTGCCTGAAAATTCACCTCCAGGAATTCCGAGGCTCCTAGGACTGACATAGTAAACATTAAAGCAAGTTTGATTTCACCAGTTTCGTATTGCCCATGGTATGCAACTTGTTTGATCCAAAATAATAATTGATTTCTTCTGGGTAGTCCAAAGAAATATTGACAGTAATGGTCATGCCAATTTTTTTTTTTTTTTTTTTTTTGGTGGGGGGGGGGGGACAAAAAGAGGGTGTAAGGGAAATAAAAAAAAGAAAATAATGGGAACAAAAGTAAAAAAAGAAAAATCTTTAGAAAGTTTTCTTTTACCCCACTCTTTACCCCCACCCAACCAAGTAATTTATTCAAAA